TGGTGTTTAGGTGCCTGCTGGGTTAAACCGCGACAGTGCCACAAAGCAAAATAATTCTGTCTGTGGAGTTACACAGACACTTACAGGGATTACCAATTAGAGCAGGTCCTTTAGCTGCTCAGTGTGATACCTAGCAATTGAATAAGTAGGTTTGTTCTTTATGGTGTCTCTTCTATATCGTAATTGCACCAGAGGTAAGAGGCACACTTGTCTAAGGAGCTTTATGTCAGGAGCATTGAGGGTTGGCTTTGGCTCTAGTAAGAATGTTCTGAAGGAGACTGTTCCACAGCTCTCCCCTTCACTCCCTGTATTTCCCCGTCCTCTAGATTTTACATGCTTTTTCCTTCTCAAAGTTTTTTCTGCTTTTCCATGTTTCTTACTGTCAGGTTTGGCCAGATTGTCTCTTCCTTCATATTGGTGTATGTCAGTGAAGAAAGTTCAGTGACATAGAAAAGACAGTTTTCCTATTCTCAATTCTGAAGCTACTTTGTAAGTGGGACATATGGTTGCAGAACCAATTCTGATCAACTCTTGGTGGCCTGAGTATTTAATACCTAAATCTAAATCAGTCAACGTATACATAAAGCCAGTAAATTGGCAATGTTATTTTGGATACTCTCTTGCAGGGACAACAGAAGGTTGCTTCAAGCATGTAGTGTTTTCTCTCTGAACTTTCTCAGGCCTTTTAATTTACTTCTCTCTCCATACATGAGACACCAAAAGTCTGGATCTTAGAAGCAGAACTTACTTTGTACTTTCGTGAGTAGTGTGATACACACCTACGTGAAAGTCTGTGTGACAACGGAATAATCTGAGTTAGTGCTTTCTAGCAGTACTCCTTGGCGTGTGAAAGTCTGTTATGTAGACATTTATTAGCTACAGTACTCTGGCTTCCTTCCAGCTCTGGGATTTTATAATACAAGGCATAGCTGGACAAAGGGGGCCTACTCTGACATGTGGAGGTATGGACAGTAGACACTAAATGGATGTGCTACAAGAGCTTTAGCTACCAGTGATGCAGTTGGCAAGTGTGAGGCTTACATGTTTTGCGCAGACTTGATGAGTTTAGTTTTGAAAGATTTTAATTGACACAGGCAAATTGACGCAGGCAAAGTTTAACATTTGACAGTGTTGAAACTGAAGAACAAACTCCTGTAGCGTTAAGTATTTATGAACCTTACATGTGAGTGCCTATGTTGCTTTGTGTGCAGTACAAAAAACCCTCCGTGTATGAAATCTGACTTCATATTATGGGCTCTGCTAAACAGGAGTGATGATTTCCGTACAGCTGTTACCAGAAATGTATCTTGTTTTGGTGGGTTTTTTTGTGGGGGGGAAGGTTAAGATAGCCAGGGATCCCAGTGCATATTATATTGTTAAAGTATTGTTAAAGGAAATCTAACGTCTAAGTAGGCAGGGACATCAGAACCTTGGTTGTGTAGTACTGGTTTTAATTATTTGTGTGGGTTTTAAATAACTGAAACAATTATTCTTCATTTCAGCTCCAGGGACTGGAATGGATGGTTTCACTCTATAATAACAATCTGAATGGAATTTTAGCTGATGAAATGGGACTAGGAAAGACAATACAGACTATTGCACTCATCACTTACCTGATGGAGCACAAAAGACTCAATGGCCCCTATCTCATCATTGTTCCTCTTTCGTAAGTAAAGGATCTCTTCTTGCTATTATTATTGTAAGCATTGCAGATTGGTTTATTTGGAACACACACTTGTTTTTCATGTAATGACAAGATGAGGTGCACAGTGGGATTACACTGAGCATGTATTCTGTGTTTTCTTTGATCATTTCTTCCCAGGTAATTGTCTGGCATTGGAAGGGTGACCAGAGGGCTGATAAAGCACTTGATTCCGTTGGTTTCGCTGTCCAGTCTTTTGGCAAACCGAGTAGTGAATTTACTGTAATTCACTCGTAAGCCACAAGAGGGCATGGTATTTCTTTCATATTACATGCCTGTAGTCCCCATTCAACTTTTAACTCTGGTATTAAAAATCTGTTGCTTAATTCTTTAAACAACTGGCGCCCCATCTGATACCAAGTAACCATGCTTTAATGAGGTTGGAATATCTTTTAAGTACTGTATAACTAGCCCTGGATGTAGCCTTGATGAATGATATTCATACTTCGGTCAGGTGTCCAGGTTATGATTGTTTATTATGCTGACCCCTTTTGCTTGTCCTTAGCTTTCCAAGATGCTGTTTGTTTTATTTCTTTTAATGCACTTTCCTTTCTCCAAAGGTGAGGTGTGGGTTTTAGTGGTTTAAAGTCCTGTGTTCTAAATAAAAACTGTCAGGCAGTGTAAAACTGATGTAGGATATTGAGGGGTTGTTTGCTTATTTTTGTGTGCAAGTGACTTGACTGATGTGCAGAAGGTCCCTGGCCTTTTTGTTAGATAATTTGTTCACCAATTGTAATGAGCATGTGAATGTGTTGTAGAATTAGGATAAATTTTATTTGTGGCCATCTCTTTGATTTCTTTTGAGGTATCCTGTCTTCTGGTTGTGCTGCAGTAGTAACTGATTGACTACCATAAATATCACAGCTGAGCCTAATTGTATGAATACAAATGATGAACTCTAGTGTGAAAAGAAATGGCTAGTGTGAAAAGAAAAGATCTATAAAATAAAACAAAGTTAAAAATAAAGGGAGAGCATTATCAATGTCAGATTTCACACAGATATCTTTTAAGTTCTCTGTAATGATTTTGCTTTTTCTAAAAGAGAGGGCTGAAATTTTTTTCTCATACACGTTTTAAAAGCCACCTTTCCCTGCCTTTCCGTAATAGCTGGTACTGCTGCCATCACAGGTTCAGTAAGGAGAAAAAAAAAAAAGGCAAGCAACCCAGAAAGCTCAAGGTTATTTTTTGCTACTGTATCATGATAGCAACTAGCTTAGCCATAAAAACCTATTTGTTGTGATCAAACAGCAGAAACACAGTGCAAAAACGGACCTGCATAGTGGCACTGGGTGGCACTATGAGTAGTTCTACTCGAATAGAACACAGATGAATTCTATTATCAAGTTCATGAGGCTATATTTGAACAGTTGTAACGTCAGTTTTTGGAATATAAGTAGTATAAAAGAACTTACAGATCTATTTTTTGTTCAGGGTTATCTTTCTTATTCTTAATATGTTCCAAAATACAAAGATGCACGTGAAATACCACTCTGAATTGGTTTCAAAGAGGACCCTGAATATGAGCTAAAAGAGGGTTTCACGCTTTTTTCTGTTTACTCTCTTCTCAGAGATGCTTTTATTTTATTACAGTATATAAAGTGCTTTTTTTAAAATATACTGTTAATTATGGACGTTGATTACATGAGATGTGTTCAAAAGTTGGCAACCACTTGGAAACATTTATGAAGTTTGACCTGCAAATGATGAAATGTATTACTTTTTCTTTATAATCTCTATGATAGGACTTTATCCAATTGGACATATGAATTTGACAAATGGGCTCCTTCTGTGGTGAAGATATCTTACAAGGTTTGGTTTGCTTTTTATATTATTATAGAGTTGAAGAAATGAGAATAGAGCCAGTTTTTCCTCTGCCTCTGCATGCATTTCTAAACTGTTTGCTCATGAAGTTTTGTCACATATATCAGGTACTAAGCAGTGAGAGTTAATCATACTAAGAAGACGACTGTAATAAACTGTAACTACTTTCACATAGTGAAAGGCTTCTCATGAGAGTAATAAAAATGATAACTACTTCACGTTTTATACATATCTGAATACTTTGCTGTTTGGCTACTGTAGTAGTGGTATGGCCAAGCAATTTGTAAGGACACTAGACCGACCGCTGGCTATGTTTCCAGTGCCCCATAAACAGAGCTTTACAGTCTAGCAACCTTTAGGGAAAACACTTTGAAGAATTCTGGAATGCATTGGTGTATTGTTTGCAGTACTGTAGGATTAGAAGTTCATGTTGTTGCTCTGTGTCTGCTAATTCATAAAAACGATGTATTTTCTTCATCAGAAGAGTAACTACTCACTTCTCTCTCTCTTTTAGGGTACACCTGCAATGCGCCGCTCACTCGTTCCTCAGCTTCGAAGTGGAAAATTTAATGTTCTTTTAACTACTTATGAGTACATAATAAAGGACAAACATATCCTTGCTAAGGTAGTAATGACTCTCATCTCTTAACAGCAAGACCTTCAAGACACCTTCAAATGGTGCATAGCACAAAACACATTTTTGTTTTATAGGGAAGTCTCGAGTTGTTGTTCTGTCCTTCAATAAAAGTTAAACCTTTCATTTACTTTTCTATTCCTCTGTTTATGATTGGACTTCTTAATCACAGCTCTTCTCCCTGTATACACCAGGATTTTCCTGAATGTGGCCAGGAGACTAATTCCTTTGTGCAATTCTGTCAGTACTGTATACCTGCCTGTCCTTGGAAAAACATGACTTTTCTCCCCTCTGCTTAATGGCATTTAACCTAACCTGCAGTCCTGACTTTAATTTTTTTCCATTGTTTCTGACCTGAAGCTCACTCTTTTTAGAGCCTTTCCAGCTATGTGGTGACTTTTCCCCAAATGACTAAATAGTTACCTGTATCATGAATTTGGTATCCACACTCTTTACTACACATGGCCCAGTTGTTAAAGGCTCACTGACTGTGAACAGGTGTGCCTCAAATGTAATGAATTAATTTGAGAGCTACTGTACTGTAAGGCTATTTCACGTACACACAAAGCAGACTTAAGGAGGTATTTTGCCATTTGGAGAAACCGTATGGTCTTACTGTCCCTTTATTGTTCGTTTTCACTTTATTTCATTCTATTACTTACTGCATATTTCGATTATTCATTTTTCCTCTCTGATACAAAGGTAGTGCATTTTCTTAGCGTAATTGTGAACACTTGAGAACAGTTTGAGACTGCAGAGTTTTCCTTCCCCTCTAGTTGTTGCCCACCCTTGCTAAAAGATAGCAAAAGGACAGCACTATGCCATTCAACCTGTCCTGGGAAATGGAATTAGTTAGCATCTATGAAAGTACAAACTGAGGCCTTCCTAGTCATATGGTCAGTGTGGCACATGTGTTGACTGCCCGTGTTGTACTGTAAGTGGTAACAGAGAGCTTGAGCAACTTTCTTTCAATATCTGCTGTTACTGCATTTAAGCTTTCACATTAAGAAATGGAAATTTGAAGATGCAGTAACTGAGATGAGATGATGGTGCTACGTTGCTTTGTTCTTGAGTAAAAATACAGGATTAGCTGAAATAAAACAAAGTTCAAGGTTGCTGTTGTTTGTGAGCATAGTTATTTTGTCTGAAAATGCTTTTGTCTCCTGTCAAGGTTCTTGTTGCAGGCAGGTTTATTTGGAGTTTATGTGTTCCCCTGAGAACCATATTCTGGCCTTGAAAAGCCGGTCACCCTAATCTCTTTCCCAGAAGTGGGAGGAATCCGCTGTTTGCTGTTGCAGTTCAAGTCAGAATTCAGCATCAGATTCAGCATATCTAATGTTTGTTTCTATTTTTGCTGCTTGCAAGGGCACTGGTACTTGGATAATGCTTGATTTGGCTTTTCTCATAAATGAGAATGATTGAAATATTTTTGTTCTACCTGCTGGGAGGAATTTGACTAAGTCTGACCTGCTGTAACTTGGCTAACTTTTCTTTTTCTTGCAGATTCGATGGAAATACATGATAGTAGATGAAGGCCATAGAATGAAGAACCATCACTGCAAGCTGACTCAGGTCTTGAATACTCATTATGTGGCCCCTAGGCGAATACTGCTGACTGGGACTCCATTGCAGAACAAATTGCCTGAACTTTGGGCTCTTCTCAATTTCCTCCTTCCAACCATTTTCAAGAGCTGTAGCACCTTTGAACAGTGGTTCAACGCTCCATTTGCCATGACTGGAGAAAGGGTACTGTGGCAGTTTTTTTAAAACATCAGAAACAAACCACTTTGATGAAAACAGAAAGGAGCTTATACAGAAGGATTAGTGTTAGAACTCTCCCTGGTACTTAGGGAATTAATATAACTAAAAGCCACCTTTTTTATAATGCCATAAAATTTTAATATCAGTGTCTTTTTTGATTCAGAGTCAGTTTGGTTGTAACATGCAAGTAATTATTGCACATACTTAACCTCTCAAGTGAGAGAAGACATTACTTAATATATTGAGTTGCCTTGTAGTGACTTTTATAAACTTCTGTAGGTGGACTTAAATGAGGAAGAAACTATTCTGATCATCCGTCGTCTCCATAAAGTGCTCCGACCCTTCTTGCTGAGAAGATTGAAGAAAGAGGTTGAGTCTCAACTGCCAGAAAAGGTTTGGAATGAGAGGAGTTGTGGAAGGGGTTTAATACTTTTTTTAAGCATTATGTAATGTTCCTTTTTCAGATCTGTTTTACGGAAGAGGACTTCTTTAGTATCTGTTATTGTTGTGGTTTGTTTGTTTATAACTCTGCAAAGAAAGTTAGCAACTGAGGAAGCCTGAATACCTGAAGTTTCTGCATTCTCAGGATTCCTCACCAGTCTTACAGCTTTAATTCTGTTTGTAGTCATCCATATAAGACATGCAAGTTACTTCCATAATACCTGGTTTCAAGTTGTAAGTGAGTCAACCATACACTGAGGATTAGATTCTGTCCTGTCCCATCCTCCCTGCACCAGGCAGAACCTTTGCTCCCTTAGCTCGTTCACTGAAATTCCTAAAGGACTACTGGACTTTATAAAGCAGGCAGAATTTGGTCCTGCGTTAATATTCCAGGAGTTTTGTGAAGTGTCTTGTTGAAATTGCACAAGTTTTTTTTAACTAGTGGCTTTTTAATTCAGAACATAAAATTCTCTTCTTATTTGAAAGATCATTGTTTTTATCTCTGGGCAACTCGTCTTGCCCCACCCTGTCCTGCTCTGCAATCCTGCATCACTTTCCCCATTCACCCTTCCCAGAATAACAACAGCAGTAAATTTCAAGGTGTGCTAGGGGAAATTTGGTGTTAGGGTCAACTGGGTTAAAACCATACCAAAATGAAATTTTTGTAAGTTCTGTTGTGAGCTGACTAATACTGGCTGAATGAACAAGGAGCTCTGTACAGATGCTTAGTGACAGTACTCAGAGGAAAGGCTTTTTAAAAATTCCTTTCTCATCTTTATAATGTTGTGAACACTGTTACTGTTGCGACTTTCTGTTCCTTCAAATGTCAATTCTCAGTATCCTCAGAAGCATTTATTTGAGAATGAAACATACTTGCGTTTAAAAATAGTACTGAAGTCTTTATTTCTATTCAAATTTCTTCCAGTTAGAGCCACTGTATTTGATAAATCCATTAATAGGCATTGCAGGAGGAGGGTTTAGAAGTAACATACACACTGGTACTCAAGAGGACCATGTTTCTTTTTGTTTCCAGTATGTTGTTTATGAAAAAAGCAATTAGTCCAACCATGAGGACTGACTGAACTTGTTGACCAAAGCCTGTTAATCAGTTTCATTTGATCTTACAAATCTTGGTAAAGAAGCCATTGAAGAAATAGTCACTTCTCTTTAATAAGTTCGTCCTCTTGTCTTTCTGAGAAAAAAATAACGTGGTAATTTTTATTCCATTTATTTGTTAAACATCAGGAAGCTTATGCTTTTTGTTTTAGTCACCACTTGAAAGATTTCTAGTCACTAGTGTGGCTTTATTATGTGACTGGTTTTATTTTGCATAACTTATTAAAAACATAGTGACTATAATTTGGAAATTGGAAAAAATGACTTAAATTGGGGTATGAAGTCTTTGTATTACTGGATGTAAAGAGAGCGTGCATTCAAAAACTGCTGTAATAAATACAGTTTTACAAAGCTGAATAAGAAGTCAAAAGAGATGTGGGGATCATACAAAACTTGATTAATTCCCTGTTTTTAGTCATGTTTCTATGCCAACCTAGGTAAGCATAATGATAATTAGTATGAGGGGTGCTAGGTATACAATGATGATATTTTTATAATGCTTTGCTTGATATTTTTATAATGCTTTACAGACATAATAAAGTCCACAGGTTATTAAACATAAAATGTTTTTTTTTAAATTACATGTTGAACATAAAACAAAATAAATTTTTAATTATTTTTAAAAATTGTTGAAATTACAGAGTGAGAAAAAAATATGTTTGGCAATTCCGCAGTTACATTCTTAGGATCCAACTGCCTCATAGTAGTTGTGACCCTCACAGATAATCTTTCGAGGTACTCATTGCTGTGCTTGCAGTTGGATTGCTGCTCACTGAAATCATATGTGGTATTAGGGTACGGATAAAAGATTAGTAGTTTTTTGGTTTGTGTTTTAGAATGACAAGAACCTGCAGTTAGATCCTACTAACATTATTATGTCTGTGTTCATGGTTGGGGTTTTTTTTCATGCTAGGTGGAATATGTGATTAAATGTGATATGTCAGCTCTTCAGAAGATCCTGTACCGTCACATGCAAGCCAAGGGAATCCTTCTTACAGATGGTTCTGAAAAAGACAAGAAGGTACAAAATTAAAACTAAAACATGTAGGAAACAATGTATTATGATTAAACATATTAACCATATGATTTCTGTTTTACAAAATTAGTATGTAGGCTTTTACTGCACATATCTGTCATGGGAAAAGAAATGTCTATCAGACATGCTTTTGTTTTACAAGACTGCATCTCGTGCTCTCTAGTCACGAGGAAAAGATACTACTTGTATTCACTGTAGTTACAGTGCCCTTCTGCAAACAGGCAATGTTTGAAAAAACCCAGCATTTCCCTTGGCCGAGTTTAATCCAATGATGTACCTGAGTAATTGTGATTGTGGCAGTGCTGGCTACAGAAGGTTTTTCATCTTGTCTTTCAGAGCTATTAGTTAAGTGTAAGTCTTGTTAGGGCTGTATGCTTGCATTTGTACTTAGAAGATCTGTTAATGACAAAGTTCTTTGAGAGAAGAGTAGGATTCAAAGCCATATAGTCAGATTTAGATTACGTATTAGTAAATGTTGATTATGTCATCATGGGACTTGATCCAGTTAATATAGAGTAAACAAGTTGGCATTCATCAGCTTATTTGTGTGTACACTTTTCACATTATAATAAATGTGAAATACCTTGAACAGGCACTGCAGAACAGCTGGTGTGTAACAGTTTGCACCCTGTTACGTGTGTATTACTGATGCAGTGCAATCACATACTGTCTTTCCACCATCCTTTTGCAGGTTGCATTGGTATAATGGGTGACTTCTTTATTCAGTATCTTGTTTTACTCTCCTTGTTTTGTGCAGTCAAATTGTTTTCTTTGCTGGTGCTTATTCAAACTCCAGACAAAGCTGGTTCTTATCATTGGATATTGATACTCATCTTCATAGTTTGAGCACTTTGGAAACATTAATTTATGTTCCTCTGTTGTATTTTTAATGTAATTTTGTAGTTTGGTGTTTTTACTTTTGTCCTACAAATTTCATTTCGTATCACAGTATTCTACTTTCTTTCCTTTCTGGTCTTTTTCCTCTCTTTCAATAGCTCAGAATCTTCTGTCAATTTTCCCCTACTTGCTTCTCCACCCAGCTTTTTGCTTAACCAGTTCAAATTGCCTTTGCTGTCTTCTGAACACCTCCCTCTCCTTTCTCTCTCCCCAAGAGTCTAAAATTTTTCCTTTTTTGCCACCCTCTCTTAATTCGTTTTTTTCTTTAACTGCTTCAGGCTCTCTTATCCATGCTACCTGTTGCCAGCAGGGGGACGTGGTTGTTGAGAATGCTTGGCTTCAGTGATCAAACAACTACTGTGTTAGGAAAAAATCCTGTCTTTCTGCAGCTCTGGCCTGGAACCAGCTCAGACTAGAGAGAATTCATTAAGCTGGAAAGCTCTGGGAAATGACTCTTAGAACAAATATGAACTACATTTTGGAGCAAATTTGAGAGGATTTGGAAAGGAACAAAAACAAATCTTAAATGTAGTACCCCCTTCAAACATAAAATCTCTGCTCTAGATGGAAGTTACAATTTCACTGTACTTTCCAGGAAAGAGTAGAATATTACTAGTATATAATATGATCAAATAGTGTACTTTTCCCTAGTTTTACTATTGGAAAGTGCTGAATTGTTTTGGCTGAGATTTTTAAAATAAATCTGAATTGGTCATACAGTAAGCATGGAATATTGCAGCCACTCTGATTACATTTTCATAAAATTACAACAAAGCAAAGTCTCATCTGAAAGCGACAAGCGTTTGGCAATGGTAATACTATATGTTGTTCTCAAACTTGTATCCACCAGTTGCAATTAGTTTTTAACCATACAGTTTAGTCCAGCATTAAACTAGTATAGCACTGTCTGAAATCTGTCCTGGTTCTAAAAAAGATTCACTGTAGAATAGGTTTTGAGAATATACTTTGTTAAATATTAAGATGACTCACAAGATTTGGTTGTCTCTAGCTTTTTAGCTGCCTGTGGCCCTGTGTTTTACTTGGCCTGGAAAGAGAAACCCATATATCCAGTTAACAGACAGGAGGAGATACTGTAGTATTGAAAAGCGTCCGGCTAAAATCGTTTCCTGTTAGAAGGTTCAGACCAGATGGGATTTGTATGGTTTTGTAATAAACAGTATAAAGAAGCAGTATGCAGGACAGTAGGTGCTCTGCTTCCCACTGTGAATACTTCAGGTAGATACATAATGCACTTTATGGATTCCTTTCAGGTCTTCCTTTTTCGTTATGGAGCATCCTTATGCTAGATGAATTTATACAGCAAGACAACTGCACAATAGCTTCTGTTGTTTTGTTGTTTTGTTCTGGTTTTTGTTTTTTTTTTTAATTAGTGATGTGGTGTTCAGGGTTGGGGTAGAGGTATTTTATGCCTACATTTAAAAATATCTTTCAAAAGCTTCATTAATAAGCTAAGAAATTAGATTCATCATTTGATTTGCCTTGTTTGTACCCATAGGGAAAAGGTGGGGCAAAAACTCTTATGAACACTATCATGCAATTGAGAAAGATATGCAATCACCCCTACATGTTTCAACACATTGAGGTAAGACTGACAGGTTTGATTTTGAGAGTTGTTTTTATTCAGATGGCTAACATAATAGAAAACGGCTGTTGAAGCTTATGTGTGTGGGAGAGGACATCTATGTCCACATCATTTGTGCTGAAGAGGACACATTTCAAAAACATGATCATTATCGTCCCTTATTTTTAGAAACAAATGGACCAACTGCCAGCTTTTTATTGGTAATCTGAAGTCTGGTTTCAAAGCAATCTTGAGGAGACACTGTCTTCAAAAAATGAAGGTTTTTTTTAATTTAAGATGTTCCAGAGCAACTTAATCTCTGCTTAGACCTAATGTATGATGTAGAGACACTAGTTCAAAATGCCATGTGTAAGATCTTTATAACTGGTAGGCTGCTAATCTTTTACAATATCAACCAAAATTGTCCTATTTTATCCACCTTGTTTTTTCAGCAAAAATGTACTATCTATATAGCATCTGTCATAAGCACCCGAAGTACGTGAATATAGTAATATATCTGGAAAGACAGAAAGTGCAGTAAATATCTGGAATGTAGCTACATTTATGAATGAATAATTAAGTACCTACTGTGATGTATTACCATTGTAGTTTTTACTCTCTGTTCTCTTGTATACTTATTAATTAAATCGAGTAATTTGCAAATGGATCTTCCGGTAATTAGTATAAATTAATTAGGTTCTGCTGTATTTGTAATCTGGTAAAATGTATGCTGACAGAAGTTACTTCTACAAACCATGAGTTTCAAATACTAGTAGTACACGAAAACATTAAGCAGAGTGCTGTTGCTACAACATGGATTCCAAGAATATGAACGTAATGGAACTCAAACCCCAATGCGCATACATTTAATTTAATTGATATAAGAATGCATAATTTTGAGTTACTGTGTCGTTTGTAATAATCTGTTTATTGCTTGTAACTCTGCAGGAGTCCTTCGCTGAACATTTAGGCTACTCAAATGGTGTCATCAACGGGTAACTCTTTCTGTTTTTCCTTCTGTTCATAATGTTGTATTGGAACTCATGTATCACATTCTTTTTCTAGAAGGTACATGCTAACAAACTCAAGCAGCCTATAGAAAGGCGGAGGAGGGACAGGGCACGTATCTAAAACAAAAGATAACAGTACTAGAAGTGTTATATGAGCTTTTTATTACCCTTCATCTCTTTCAGGTGGACAGGCAGAGAAGATTGTAAACTGATGTCTTCCTTACCCCTTATTTTGAAATAGCTTAGGTACCATCTGAAATTCATTGGAATGACTCTTCAGAGATATCAGTTGGGATTTTCTTCTCTTTCTTATTACTTTTGCCTTCTGCTTTTCCCTTTTAACCATTTTTATTCCAAATTGAAGTAGCATTTGTACCATTATTTGAAATGAAATAGATTTAAATTTTGTTCTTGGCAGTTCTTTGTACTACTGTCTAGAAATGAATGCTTTCTAAAGGAAGGGTGTGTATCTTCCACTTGATCCCCTTTCTGTTCAGGTGTTAATGACATGTCTTTTTTTTTCCGTAACTGGTATACCAGACTATTTGTCTCCTTAACTGGTACACCAGACTACTTGTCTCCTAAACAGTTTAGTCTTTTGCTGATTACGTATGTATGCATATCAGAAGGCCATGTATCTTGTGGACTTAAGTACACCGTTGCTAGCGATAAATCGTATTTTGAGAGTACTGACTCAAGGTTAGAAAAAAGTTATGTGAAATTTGTTTTTGTAAAGCATATCACTGTGATGCTGATTTAGACATCCTGTTTACTTTTATTTGTTTTCTCAGTTATGACTTGAATTTCAGTGCTAAGAGTCTTTTTTGCAATTCATAGCATAGAAGACAAGAGCAGCTAATCAAAGCAACTAAATATTGTTCAGGACTACTAAGGTTATATGGCTAAAGAGTATGTCTTCTATCAAACTCCTCCCATTATCTCTGTATATTAGTTCAGTTTGGAGTATTTCATTTTCATGTGCATGGTAGTTGAGTGGAAAGGGAATTGTTTCTAACACGTGCCTGATGAATACAACTTACAGCTGCAGTAAATGCCAGTTGAAAGCAAAACTAGCAGGTAAATGTCTTAACTGATAACATGCTTATCTAGCTGAGAAATAATGTTTGTTTTGATAAATAATGAAACAGAATTGAGTTTCATAAAGGAAGGAATTCTGTGTGGTTGAAAGTCCACACAGTTTTTGTAATTGAAGAAAAATCCTTTCCAGACAGGAACTCACATGGGTGTTTGTTTTTTTATTTTAATCAACATGAACAAATTTAAGAGGGAAAAGTGCTATTAGTCTTGTTTATCTTAAGTAAGTGAATTTCTCTGTTACACTCTGACATGATAATGACTAAAAACTTTTCTAAATGCGGGCTCATTCTGCTCTTTACTGTGCTTTTTCTCTTCAACAGAGCCGAACTTTATCGGGCCTCAGGGAAGTTTGAGCTGCTCGATCGTATTCTACCAAAGTTACGAGCTACTAACCATCGTGTGCTTCTTTTCTGTCAAATGACGTCACTCATGACCATTATGGAAGACTACTTTGCCTTTCGAAATTTCCTTTACCTGCGTCTTGATGGTAAGCTAAATGAAAAAAAAGGATAAGTAATAACTTAGGAGGTAGCATGCTTCATTAGTTTGCGCATAGGAGACCTCTCTTCCTACTGTCTTCCTAGCACACCAGCGCTGTGATGTGACTACAAAAAATGATTTGACAAATCCATGAAGGAAGGGTCTGCAAGGGTGTTTATCATGAAGTTATGCAGTAGACCCTTAAGCTGCAGCTTACTAGCATTTTCCCTGTTTTTACAGACAAGGTACTGAGCAAGATGTACTTTTGCCTCTCTTGATAGAGTTGATCTTAAGTAATTCTCCGTCTCCCTGGCCCTTTGACTGTTTTCTTTCACCTGTTTAACTTGCAAACCATTTGGTCAAGGGATTGTTTTGATGAACACTCAGGTCTGTTCGTGGAATGCATATTATGTGGACAGGATGTTTAGGGGCTGATCTCTTTTTCAAACAAGGTTTAAAATCCAAGGTCCCAATCAGGTGTCACTAAGTTGCCGGAAAGTATTCTCATGATGAGAGATGATAATGCCAGTGTTTTGCCTAGATTCCAACAGAATTAATTAATTTGTACCTATTTGAAGTTCAACTGCTGTTCTTCACAGGATAGCTGAATTTCAGTGACAGGTAAAGTAGTACCTGTAGTTTTATTCATGAATTTCACAGGAAGATCAGTAGCCTCAAATACTTTATGTGTAGATATTTTTTATTACTTTTGAATGAAAAGGTAGTTTAGAAACATAGTGGAGTAATATTGAAAGGAAAAAATCTAAAAATAGCATATCCCATCTGAGGTTTAAACCGGTTTGAAAGAAGTTTCCATTTTGGCCTTCTTCCATGTTGATGATCTCTGCCTCATACTGACTTTCTTAAATATTGATTATTTTTACTTAATGTATTTTTCTCACATATTATAGTATTACATAGGACCAGCAGCATTTGTCAGAATACCTTTTTAATAGAAAAGCAATGCTTTAAGAAAAATATAAAGAACAGCATGAATAAAGTGAGAGTTTAAGGTCCTTTTGAATATTCTTTTTACAGCATTTTAAGTTGACTCTTTGCTTCATACTTTATTTGGAAGAAAAAGTAATGCTGAGAAGTATTCTCGTCCTTTACAAGTGTTAATGAACATAAACTTGAAACGCAATTATCCTCAAATGTAAAATGGGGTAATGAAACTGAGACACAAATGAGCTGTCTCACTGTGCCACAGGATGTCTTTGTCAAAGCTGGCCGAAGAACATTGTACCATGCTAACAAAACCCTCCTTGCACCTCTGGCCTGCAGGTGTTTTAATGCTTCCATTCAAGAAAGATAAATTATATTACATTTAAAATGTTTTAAATTACCTTACACCATGTATTTTACAGTGAATTCTTTTTCATGCTAGAATGTCTATGGCAATGTGCAGTATGGTAAATACAGCTCCTTGTTTTCTTTAAGGTTTTGCAGGTAATTCATTAAATTAGTGAGATGAGCCCTTTTTTCTTCTTTTCCAGTTTTGTGATGACAGATACCATCCATGCTGGAATGTAATATATATGTAAATTCTATCCAGCTGTCTTCTCTTTCTACTCAAGTCATGTGCTTCTTAAGGAAATGGGTTTCTGTAGGCCAGCAGTTTGGCTTTGTGATTGTACTGGATCTGGCTGGGATGAAGTTAACTTTTCTCCTAGCAACCCATATAGTGCTGTGCTTTGCATTTGTGGCTAGGCAGGGTTGATAACACACCAATGATAACACCCCAGTGTTTTGGCTATTGCTGAGCAGTGCTTGCACAGTGTCAAGGCTTTCTCTCCAAACCACCCCTCCACACCCAAGGCCGGTAGGCTGAGGGTGAGCTGGGACCTGGCCAGGACAGCTGACCCAAATTGACCAAAGGGACGTGCTCAGCAATAAAAGCTGAGGGAAAGGAAGAGGATGCAGGGACATTCCTCATTACAGCATTTGTCTTCCCGCGTAATCATTCCGGGTGCTGAGGACCTGCTTTCCAGGGAGTGGCTGGACATCTGCCTGCTGATGGGAAGTAGTAAACAAATTCTTCTTTTTGCTTTGCTTGCGTGCACAGCTTTTGTTTTTATTAAACTGCCTTTATCTCAGCCCAGGAGCTTTTCCATCTTACTTCCTCCCCCTGTACTGTTGAGGAGTGCGAGTGAGAGAGGTGGGGGCAGGGGTGGGCATCTGCAGCCAGCTGGTGTCAACCCACCTCAGTAATAGAAGAACAACATCTCTTGTACATGTATTGATACCTGAATAAAAATAGCAGACCTTCTTCGGCTTTCAGTTACAGACAAAAGTGTAAAAAAGATAAGGCAAGCAGTGGACCAGGCTAAGGTGATATAGACTGTTGTTGAAGTACATTAAATTCGTCCAGCTGCCAGAGTGCACAGGGCTTGGTTTTTACTTAGAACTCTGTCTACATTTTCACCATGATTTAACTCCACACATATGTTTAGCAACTGACATTGTATTTGTATTTCTTCAGTTCACATCTTTGTTATAGGGTTTTTTTTTTTATTTCTTTTCAGGCACAACAAAATCAGAGGATCGAGCTGCTCTGTTGAAGAAGTTCAATGAACCTGGGTCACAATACTTTATCTTCTTGCTGAGTACAAGGGCTGGAGGGCTAGGCTTAAATCTCCAGGCTGCTGACACTGTTATAATCTTTGATAGTGACTGGAATCCTCACCAGGTTATTTTTATTTATGTATCTTCATGAAATGTGCAAAGAATTAATGATACTTTCTTTGGGTTGCTTCTTTAAATTGGGGATATAGCCTGGGGTGAAAGGAATAGATTCAGGTAAGTCGTAAAATGCTGCTTTGAGAGGAATTAGTGAGGCAAACTGCTACAATCAGGAAATGGTTTGGTTTGAATCAGTGAAGTAATTCTGTGTCTGAGTATATATTTTATCTGAGTCTCAGGGAATCCTCAGAGTTAGGGGCCTTGTAGAGCTGCTTCGTTTGTATAAGTGTACTCATTCTTTAACCCTTAGGACATTATTAAGTAACTCCCCATTTTGAGTCTTTGGTAGGTAGGTTGCAATATTTTAGTAAAGGCTGTGCAGGGCGCTGCCTGTCTCAGGAAATTAGTGGCCATATGAGTGCAGCAGTCTTGGCCTGAGACACTGAACTGACACTGTTGGTGTGGGTAGGTAGTAGTGAGTACAGATCACCAGGAAAAGAGGGTATCAAACCACTTTGGCTTATTTTAAAAAGCCAGAAGAGGTAACTGAAGTCTGTCTTTGTCACCTAGTGGCCTTTTTTTTTTTTTAAGAATGTTAAGTTAGATGTCTCTGGAAGTACATGGCTATGTGTGTGTTTTCAGCTATTGTGCAAATACATGCAAATCACATCATAGTCAATGGCCACATGTAAAAGTAAAGGAAGTGAGACTAAAAAGAGTTTTATATAGAACTTTCAAGGCAGCACTCTCATAGATGCCACAGTGACAAATTTAAAGGAAGGCTTAAGAAATTTGGAGCAATTACATTTAGAGGTTTTAAAAGCAGCTCAGAAAGCACTTTGTTCTTTGTATTTTTGATTGTCTTTATGTCACTTTCACAGGCAAATTTAATGCAGAGTACTGTATATTTCAACAGTTGGATAGCAATAAATCCTTGCGGTATAGTAAAAATTACAGAATATTTTCTGGAGTATTCAATGGGCAGATTGCTAAATTACAAAATCATAGAATCATTTAGATTGGAAAAGACCCTTAAGATCATCAAGTCCAACCATAAACCTAACACTGCCAAGTCCACCACTAAACCATGTCTTTAAGCACCATGTCTACGCATTTTTTAAATACTTCTGGGGATGGTGACTCAACCACTTCCCTGGGCAGTCTGTCCCAGTGCTTGATAACCCTTTCAAGGCAGAAATTTTTCCTAATGTCCAAACTAAACCTCCCCTGGTGCAACTTGAGGCCATTTCCTCTTGCTCTATCCCTTGTTATCTGGGAAAAGAGACTGACCCGCACCTCGCTACAACCTCCTTTCAGGTGGTTCTAGAGAGCCATAAGGTCTCCCCTCAGCCTCCTTTTCAATGCATGCAGTTTCTCTTCTGCTGGAGATGGGAGTAATTTGTCCATTTTAATGAGCAGTGTGCTAAAAGAGGATAGCTGGGAGGGGAGGGAGGTTCTGGGTAGCACTTAAGCAGCACATTTTTGGAAATAAAAACTTCTCTTTCCTCACTTTACCATTTTCCTTCTAAGAATGCTTATATGAACAAATTCATGTTGTAGCTTCATCTTCACTGTTAATGCAAACTTCAAATACACCTTCAGGTTGCAGCAGCTGTGTCATATGTAGTGCTTGAGAAGGGAATTGTGGGAGGGAGGCGCTAACAATGGTAGCAAAAGCAAGGTGCTGGACTGAAATAACCAAACTCATTGCCTGTTTTCTTTCTTTTCTCTACATGAAGAAATTTCTGTGTTGCGAGGTAGCACAAAACTATGATAGCATTTTGAGGTCAGGTGCCCTTCGTTATCTGCTATCCTGAAGTGGAAACACACCATTTGTAGGAGTTAATGGATTTCTCTTTTTTCCAAAGAAAATAGATAAGATTTTGAATTAATAAAGGAAATTCTTTACCTATGACCTGCAGTGTACTTTTTACTTCCACCATTTGTAAGTGGAAATCGCCTGAGCAAAAAATAGTTACATTGATTCACAGTCTTGTATATATGAACTTTCAATTAGGAAGATCATATTTAAGCTGTTTTAACACAAATATTCCAAGTTAAAAGCTGATTCAACATATCAAATAATTTTTAGTTAACATATATAAGAATTAGCAACGGCCTTTAATAGATAAGTTTATGTATGGGTTTTTTCCTAGTAATTTTGTTTCTTTCTTTTCCTGCAGTCAAGATATTTTACTTTAGGGTTCATTCTGGCTTGGAAGGCCGTGAGCTTTGAATAGAAGGGAAAAAATGAATATATCAGCCCTTGTCAGTCACTGCACAGGCTTTCAAGAAGTTTTTGGCTTACTGCATTTACACTGTACAGAGCATGTCCATGTTTTTTCCTTTCAGCTTTCCCCCTACCTGGGTCTGATGACATTTTGGGAAAGAAAACAATGAGGAATGAATCATGTGAATTGTGGTGGACTGTCATTTCAGTACTTCCTTTTTATACCAAAAAGAATTCAGCATTATAATGTCCTTTAAGCAGAGAACGATTTCTGTAGCACACTTAGAATATAAATCACACTCTATGTTCTTTGCTTAACAGGACTTGCAGGCCCAAGATAGAGCTCACCGAATTGGTCAGCAGAATGAAGTTCGAGTCCTGCGACTGTGCACTGTGAACAGTGTGGAAGAGAAGATACTTGCTGCTGCAAAGTATAAGCTGAATGTAGATCAAAAAGTTATCCAGGCTGGAATGTTTGATCAGAAATCTTCAAGCCACGAAAGGAGAGCCTTCCTACAGGCTATATTGGAGCATGAAGAAGAAAATGAGGTAAGGTAGTTAGAAATAATCAGTAAGAGGATGTTTCAGGAAGTACTGAATCATTTTTTTCATCAGTTACAAAGATTGTCATCTCCTTTGAAATTAGAAATGTCATCATATTCTTACCATCCAGTCAATGAAACAACTACATTTTTCTCTTTTTTTTGGTCACAGCGATAGGTTATAATGTGATGGTTATGATGTAATGGTTATGATTAAATCTTAGGGTAGAATTAGGCGTTGTAACTTAAACCCATTCCGCCCTTTCATAATTTTGGCAAAAAATTGTATTCAAACAAAGATTTTTTCCAAAACAGATAATAAACCAGTTCCTAAATCCAGTTTATATGTTAAACTAGGTAATCTGATTTTCAGACATGCTGAGCAACTAGCACTACCTAGGTTCAATCATGAAAGACCCTACTTACTGTGCTTCTTTTGGATCCTGAGTAAGAGTTAAGATCTGCTTTGACGTGCTTTGGGCTTAGGGTAAGCCAGCAAAATAACTGTTTCTTTCTGGCCCTGTGTCCAACCTGGACTTCTGGTTACCACTTCCTCTTCAAGAAACAATTAGCTGTTTAAAAACAGCTGTCAAGTCTTTCCTTATAATAGTGGGAAATGAGGTTATAGAGTCACTGACTGTATGTCCCTGTCTTTTCATTGTGTTCTTCTCTGGAATTGTGATTGTGGAATGGTGAGCCTCTTCTTTTGCCTGTCACTGCAGACTCTTCTCTTAATATGAACAAAATTCAGCGTTTGGATGATAGCCACATTTGGGAGAGAGTGTATAAATGTATCAATTATACTGAAGACACACATGAAAAAATCCCATTCTGCAATGACTTTTTCCCACCTCGAAAATATCCTGTACTGGTTAAAGATGCAGAGATTTCAAGCCTAATTTTGCCTCTCAGTATGCCTTGTACGTCTGAATATGATTCTATAGTCTGTATTTCATAGGCATCCTTCAGTATGTGTTTCAAAGTTTCGAAGACCAAGAAGTTTACTTCTTCAATTATTAAACCTTTTGTGTAAACTCTTTGTCTTGGTGTGCATTTAGAAAAAGTTAGTACATCATTAAGATAGAATTTTGTAATGTTGTTTCAGTATTTTTTATAAGAAATGAAAGAAGAGTGACAAACAGTCATTTTTATCAGTAATGGTTTTTTATTTAGGGTGTGAATGCAGAAATGGGATGATGCATATGCACCATTTTTGATGAAGTAAAATTGTAGTTCTCAAGCAGCCAGCACCTTCTGTATGAGTAGATACATGAACTTGAAACCGATAGAAATTTTCAGTAAGCCTATTTAATTTGATTTTAAAGTTGACATAATTCTGTTACGTTTTCAAAGCCCTAGAAAGTATTTATCTGAAAATGTTTCAAAAGTCAGGACTGTAGTTCGGGCCTACTTGACATGCCTTATTTCATAGATGACTTCAGAGCAATCTGCTGCTTTTGTGTTGTTCAAATACATTTGGTCTGCCGTCCTGAAGCAAGCACAGATTTAATCAAGGTTTGCTTGCAATAACCCAGCATCAGTCTTTAAAGCAAGCATTGGTATTGCAGTCTGACTCCTAACAGTCAGACTGAAGCTGAAGTTTTCAAGTAAAACTTCTTTGTGAACAGAGGCTATGCAAAACTTTGCCCAAACACTGAAACTGCTGAAGGAGTAAGAGGGATTGGATTTGCACCCTCCTGCACTGGTCAGCTATTGCTTCTTCATTGCAACAACACCGGAAACAAAATTTGAGTATCAAATGAGAGATTGACAAGAAAAAGTAAATCTCTCAGTTAAAACTTACTAATGTCAAAACAACTTTGACTTGCAAATATGGACTAGCACATCTAATAAAGAGATTGTTCAGTGACCACCTACTTTAATATTCCCATGCTAAGCATGCTTTGAACTTGCATCTCAAAGCTTTTAGCACTTGCATGTAGAGCACCATATTCTGTTTCTACTTCCTTAGTAGTTTTTGTAAATTCAGCGTCAAAACTCCCCTTATTTTTCTTTCTTCTTTCCTCTCCTTTTTGCTCTGTTTTTTCTTTTAGCAGTACTAGATAAAGCAAAGAGGTAATTTCTGTGTATTTAGAAAGATATATTAGAATAATAGGAATGTGTGACAGGTGATTAGAAGTAACTTGTTCATGGAGGCATTTTTTGTTGATGCTGGTGTTTATAAATTTTTCTTCTGCCAAGCCTACCTGGTTGGCAACAGGATTATTCAGACTAACCACAGATGATGCGGACCCTGTTGTTACAGCTTCTGCTGTGGGATCTCTTATTTTTTTCAGGTCACAAGTTGCTCTGTTTGAGATGATAGGAAGCATGTGAAACTTTCATGAGAGTCACATCCTTCAATGATCATAAAAGAAGGGATCTGTACTCTTTTTTTCTCTGTGTGTATAACTATGTGACTTCCTTTTCTTGAACGTTGAAGGAGCACTGACTAGAAGTGAGAAGAACTAGCTCTCTGTCATTTTCCCAGTTGCTTTTTTCATGTTAAAATTTAAAATATATGTACATTAAGGTACAGAGGTGTTCGTTGGGAGTTGCATTAAGAACTGTATTTTTTTCTGAGGTGTAGAAATCTTGCTAGTGGAGGGAAAATAAGATGTGTGGATATAGATAAAGGCCTTTTCTGTTTATTTCTGGAAAAAAAGAAAGCTACAGAATATTAGTTTTTTTGGATACTGTATGCAGCATTCTATACTCCCATTTCACTGAGTACCAAACATGAGTTTTCATGGTCTGCATCATACTGCAACATAGGTTCAGTAAGCCCTATGTAGGAACCAGTCTGTAGTTTTATTGTTTTGATTGACGTGTTATCAGATTTGAAATGCCGTGTACTTTCAAAATAATTCAGGGAGGGAAACTGAACATTGTGGACTCTTACTGTTTTAAAATGGATATCATAGCTGTTCGGCTTTAACATTTTTATTTGAATTCTGTGGTTCTAAATTGTTTTTCCAAGGACTGTTCTTGTTTTTACGAAACAATTCATTTTGTCTGAAGTCAGAGCTTCTCAATTTGTAAGCAGATAACGGTCAAGAGAAAGAGGGATTCAGCAGGGTTTTCTTCCAGTATAATGACATGCTTCGTTTTTTTCGTTTAACCAGGACTTTTTCATTCTCCTTGCTTTGACAGCAAAGATCTCATAATGCAGAATGGTATTTCTGAGGGAGTACTGTAAAACAGCAGAACGGAAATGCATATATTCTAACTGAAGCACTAACTGCGCTTCTGACCCAGGAAAACCACAACCGAAAATTTCCTGGTTGCGTATTTGTTCATTTCCTCATTCTGAATTTATGAAGGTGGTACTAAGTCCCAATCTTCTTTCTAATTATGTCTATTTTGCATTACTTCTGAATCGCTCAACACTTTAAAAGTTTTAATTTCATTTTGAGTGTTTCACACGTGTCATGACAGAAGGAGGGTCAGCGCAACACTGACCTGAAGGAGGCTGTTACTTCAGATTGCATGTAGCTTCTTTCTAATACCCTTATATGTCTGTGTAACCAGGAAGAAGATGAAGTTCCTGATGATGAGACTCTGAATCAGATGATTGCTCGACGTGAGGAGGAATTTGATCTCTTTATGGTAAGGATGATATGATCATAAGTAGAATACCTTCTCTAGTGTTTTTAACACAGGACTTAACCTTCTGTCATTCAAATTTTGGAAAACTTTGTTGGAGGAGTAGTCTTTATTTACTCGCATTGTTTTTCTGAGGAAAGAAGAATAGTCTACTTAAATACAGAGCTCCTCACATGGCAGAAAGACTTCAGAGATCCTTGCGGACAGTGTAGTGGAACAATCTGGAGGAAGAGTCTGGCACGACCTGAGAAATTTACAGGCAAAACTGGTAGTCACAGTTTGGCTTGCTAATTCTACAACATACTTTTATTTTTCAATGTTTCTTCCGACTTTTGGGCTATGATATTGGCAAGGACAACTACAGAACTTAACAAGATAATAAACCAGTAGACTGACAGCGCTGTTTTCTTTGTGAGTTAACAGGGGTTTGCTGGTGGTTTTGTCAAGGACCCAGTTAGCTGCATTTCTGCTGCTACAACTGTTGAAGAGTTACCGAAGTAGAGCTAGTGACAGCGGTTCAAGTGCGAGCAATGCATTTTTGTTAGTACTTCCCTTTTCGTTAGTGCTGCTACAACACTGATGGAATAATTACTAAAATGTCAGTGTAGGCATGGCTCTTGCCTTTTACTGTGTGTACAATGTGAGGGTTGCTGGAGGACCTTTGAGAGTCACTGACACAGTGACAGGAGAACACCGAAGTACTGAAGGTAAAGCACCATCCCTCTAATTCTGCAGAGGCTGCTTTGTTCTGCAAGGTGGAACAAGACAGATACTTGTGTGTGCATGAATGAAAGTGTATCAGGTGGCATCCACAGATACAACTATTGATAGCACCACAAGTTGTTCATTCCTCACCATCTTCTGCTCAAGGATTCGTCTGTAAAACTTGACTGCTATACAAGTGTGCAGGGGCCCTTTTTAGATAAGTGATAGTTGTTCAGGTGCACGGTTGGCAAAGGCCATATTCCTCCACATGGCTGTGCCTTTTGTCATTGCTGACTTGCTAGTTTAGTCCTTCTGTGCTGAGTTTCATTTAATGTTATCTCAGAAGAACGGGAATCCCTAAAGCGAGGCTGCACAGAAAATGAGTGCTTACAGACACCTGCCTTTTTAAACTTTCCTTCAGTGATTCGGGTGTAAGGAGATTTACATGACAGAAACCAAGAGGTGGCCATTTAACACAAAACTCCAGAGGAATAATTACAGCCAAATTATTGGCTGAAAGTACCGTGAGTTCTGTGAAAGTCGATTTGCTGCTGGAAAAAGCTTCTCAGTACTTCTCCTTCAGACCCAGAATGAAAGAACTAATCCATAGATTAAAAGTAGCTAATGAATTTATGTCTGTTTGCAGGAAATTTCTACAACTTCATCTTTTTGGATTAAGTTTGAAGGCTGTTAACAGCCATTCAGTAAAACAGTTTTAGCACTGTGTGGGCTGAATTTAGGTTTTTCATATTAATTTGCATGAAAGTTTTTAAGGGATAATAAAGAGTTGGTAGTAGGTAATAAAAGTTTGAAGATGCAAAGCTAACATGCTTTGAAAGCCAGGGATTTGAAAACATTTAAGATAGAAACAGTGAAGTTAAGTGTTTATGGCTGAGAAATAATTTTAAATGTTAATAAAGAATTTGTGTTTCATTTTAGTAAACTGTTTAATTATAAAAGAAAAGTCTGAAAAACAAGTTTGGCAGTCAGGGTTGTTTGTTATCTTTTTATCAATATTTTAGGTCTTGCATAGTCAGATAAAGAGCACAAAAATAGGTTTGTATTCTCTTTACCTCAGTGATGCCTGTGCTGCCTCATTCCCTCCGTTAAGGTTATAGTAGATGCAGATGTTGCAGATGTAATCAGAATTCAGCAAACTGCAATATCCAAGAAAAATGTGTTTTGGTTTGTTCATTTAACTAGGCTTAGAGGTGTAAAAGCATGTTTTGCTTATTTCAAGTGAGCAGTTCCAAAACAATAGGCAAGAGAGCAGATCGGTTCCTTGAGAAGCTGTTCTGTGGTCACTTTTCAGGTTAGAAGTATTCTTTGGCATTGATCCTGAGATGTAGCTGTAGAGCTAAATACACTGTTCAGAAAGAGGATGTGTACAAGTGGACTTTGTTCCCCTGACTTTTAGAGGCTCCACATATATAACAACAGGTAAAAACTTGAGATAGCCTCAAACCTCACACTGTCCTACTTTTGCATTCATTGCAACTGATGGCACTTGATCACACAGTAAAAAAGTTTCAAAAATATTCAGAGAAAAGTCAGTGTTTCAATGTGATCTGTACAACTCTTGTCATTTCATAATAGTGTGCTTCAACAAATGTTACTCTTCCTGGAAAAAAAATTAAGTTATTTTTAATGTTATATTTACTTAAATAAAGATTCCTGATGTAAAAACCGCCTTTCAAGTGGAAGAGTGGCCTTTCAAGGAAGGCCTCTCACCAAAATCGGTACCAGTACTCCAGTTGTGCTGGTACAGGTTATCTCCTTGAATCCAAAATGGCAACGTAGCAGTAACTGAGTATATAAATTACTGGTTTTACACTGAGTGGCTTGAGTGGTTTTTTTAAGGACTATTTTAGTTATAATTTAGGAAGTTTAATGTAACCATTCACAGTTCACAGGACAGCAGTGCTCTGTGTTTTTTCTAAACTGGAAGTTTTAGGCCCTGAGTGTGCCAACACTTAAGTTCTTCACTTATGCGTAAGCATCAGTAGATAGGACTTTCTTATCTCCAGCATTTAGGCCTCACTGAGGACAGTATAAATTCAATTACTTTATTAGTTACAATAAAATAAGGTAGATCTGGTTTGGAAATACATGTTTGGGTAAGACATGGGAAGATAGGACCAGAGGTTTCCCAGAGATAGAAGTGGTTTGAGTAGTATCCTAAGAAAAAAACAATGGCTGTTTTTCTCTCTTACATCTCAGATTAACTGAGAGTGTCCTTAATTTTCCTTCCTTTTATTTCAGAAAACAGCTATTAAAATATACTACCTTAGTGTTCAGTCTTTGTCTTAGAGTTAGAAACATGGTCATCAGGGAGAAAAATGAAGTTTCAGCATTCACATCATATACTTAATGTCATTGTCATATGATGTCCCTGAGTTCACTGAAGTTCTCTGCTAAATAATAGAGAAATCTGTCCCATCTATCTTGTTCGGGCCTTCCCTCAGTGCAGCTTGCTGGTTGCCAAGTTCACAATAAACCAAGCCATGTGTCTGGCTTGAATGAGACGTTTTTTGAAATGAATTCAGATTGAATGAGATGTTCTTTAAAGGTGAAATACGGAAGTCTGCTATAAAAAACTAAAGGCTATAAGGCCCATTCATCACTGTCTGAGATAGTGAAAGATGGAGAAAACCCACATGTATTTATAGTTGCTTCTTGAGTGTAGTTGGACCTGCAGACTGAAGACATATCTTACTTTCTGCTTTTCATTGAGTTTAGAAATCAGATAGGGCACCAGACAAGATGATGAAGACCACTTGTAAGGCACTGTGTCTGAGGTAGTATTTTGGGAATGCTTGTATTTGAGAAGTGCCAACATGAGAGAAGATTCAGCATATTCAACAGTGCCATCATTAAGCCTCAGTTGGTAAATTTGGCTGGATTTGAGCTGCCCCTATACATAGATAATTCCTCTGAATTAATGCATGTCTGTGTCTTGGCTAGGAGTGTAAAATGATGTCTAGTTGGCATCCTGTGTAAGTGCAGCATCATGCACACAAGGGAGAGGTTTGTGCATAATTGAGAATGCTTTTTACAGATGTTTACTGGCCAAAGCAGTAGCCTGTTCTGATGCTACAGCCGATTCTGGTGCTAGTCTGTTTATATTCATTTTTTAAATATGAAAATTAAATGATCAGTGGCCACCTGTTTGTTTTCTCTGCTTAGCAACTGATTACTGAGTGTTTAAGTACTATATGACTCTTCAAAAGGCCTATTTGGAAAGGCTATTCATAATATCTGGTTTGGGCTACTTAAAAAAAAATGCAAATGAGATTTCACAGGACTACAGGAGGCTAGGTCAGCGTATAGCCAATAGAGAGAGGTGGATGCTTCCCCAGGAAGATTATAAAGCACTTCACTGATGAGTCTACAGTAGGCCATGGGAATGTATCCTGAGTATCCATATCTGTTTTCTGAGGTAATTGCTCACCACACTTGAAATTAATTTATGTGATTATTTCAATTTCAGCTAAAAGTCTTAACATTACCTTCTCATATTCTTAACACTTGACCTAATCTTACCTGATATTTTTCTATGTGTTTTGATTTTTGCCTAGTGCAGTGGTAAGATCGGGAGAAATTCAGTGGTTTAAGCACGCTGGCTTTCTGGCACTGTGTAGGCAAGTTTTTCTCTGAATTTCTAAAGTCTCTCTCTTTATTCCTTTTTTCCAAAACCAGCTTTTAAATTTTCTTCTTCTGATATTCAGGCTCATGAAATTAGTGTGTTTTCAGTTATTCTTTTTAGTTACATCATAATAACACCTTATGGGGATGTTGTCAAGGAATGATTAGTATTTGCAGATCACATTGATGAATGCAAAGAAACCATGAAACCTGTGCAAAAAAGGAAGAGAGGAGTTTGATTAACACAATACAACAGTGTTCTTGTAGTCTTTGTATCACTTAGCTGCTGTGTTACTTCAGTAAAAGCTAGTTATGGAGTAGTTAACTTGACTGAAAATCAACCATCAAGTATAGCTTTTTCTTTTTGTAGTTGCACTTTAGAAGTATTTAGAAGTGTTGTGGAAGGGAAATACCTGAGAAGGACTTGGTTTAAAGTTTCAAGTACCATTAGATGGCCAGGAATTTCCATGGCTCACTTAATATTTGCTCTTAAAACTGTTTTATCCTTTCCCAACTGCCATTGCAGCGCATGGACATGGACCGTCGCAGGGAGGATGCCAGAAACCCCAAGCGTAAGCCCCGCTTGATGGAGGAGGATGAATTACCATCCTGGATTATTAAAGATGATGCTGAAGTTGAAAGGCTTACGTGTGAAGAAGAAGAAGAGAAAATATTTGGAAGAGGATCCCGTCAACGCAGGGATGTGGACTACAGTGATGCTCTCACAGAGAAACAATGGCTACGTGTAGGTTGTCCCTTTTGTTTGTTTGTTTACAGCTGAAATTTATTCATTTGTGGTGTGTTTTTTTTCTTTTTGAAGACGGCACTGTTGCGCCAGGGAGAGCACAATGTAGTATAGTGGTTAAGACCTAAATATCCTTATTATCCAGCTTTTGCTGCTGTGTTGAAGTCATAACTAAGTTTTAAAGCTGCATTGCTGAAACTTAAAACAGTGTTACTAAATGCTGAATCAGGACTAGAGAAGCTGGCGGCTCACGGCTTAGACAGGTACACTCTTCGCTGGGTAAAAAACTGGCTGGCCAGCCAAGCCCAGAGAGCTCTGGTGAACAGAGCTAACTCCAGTTGGCAGCCGGTCATGAGTGGTGTTCCCCAGGGCTCAGTTTTGGGGCCGGTCCTGTTCAATATCTTTATCAACGATCTGGACGAGGGGATCGAGTGCTCCCTCAGTAAGTTTGCAGACGACACCAAGTTGGGTGGGAGTGTTGATCTGCTGGAGGTAGGAAGGTAGGAAGGCTCTGCAGAGGGACC